CCACCACCCAGAGCAGGGCAAGAACATGGGTGTCCAAGTTCCCAGGACCCCCTGCTCTAGCCATCTCCCCTCCCAGAACAGAGCTGGAGCCCCCCGGAGAGGGGAGAGAACCCAGGTGTCTGGGCCTCGTGTCTCTCTTCCCCCTAGGACCTCTTCAGCAAATCAGACCCTTTCCTGGAGATCTACAAGGTGAACAGCAATGAATCGGAGGAGCTAGTGAAGAGGACAGAGGTGAGGACCATGGTGGGGGGGACCTGGGGGCACTTGTGGGACACTGGAGGGCAGTGGGGTGACCCCTGTGCCCCCCCAGGTGGTTTATAACAACCTGAACCCCAGCTGGGAGCCCTTCCGCGTGTCCCTCCACTCCCTGTGTGGCTGCGACCCCGACAGGACCATCAAGGTGAGAGCCCGGACACCTGGGTTCACTCCTCGGAGCTGAGAAGGGGGTGGGGACTGGGAGCCCGGACACCTGGGTACACTCCTCTGGTCTGGGGGGGATGGCAGGGAGCGTGAGTCCTGTCCTCAGGCCTTGGGGGAGAGGGGAGGGGAGGGGATAGGAGGTTGAGTCAGCTGTGGGCCTGGATGCCTGGGATAAATCCGCAGATCTTGGAGGGCAGTGGGGGCTGGGAGACTGGACACCTGGGTTGACTTCTCTGATCTGGGAGGGAGTGGGGGCTGGGGAGATTACAGCTGGGAGCCCAGTCACCTGGGTTCTGTCCTCAGACCTTGGAGGGCAGTGGGGACCTGGAGCTTGGACACCTGGGTCCTATGGTCCAATCTGGGAGGGCGGTCGGGACTGGACAGGGTTAGAGCAGGGAGCCCGGACTCCTGGGTTCTATCCAGCTCCAGGAGGGGTCTGGCGGGCTGCATCGGGGGGGCTGACTCCTGGGTTTTCACTTTTCCCCCTCCTCCTTTGCTCCAGTGCATGGTGTATGACCACAACTCCAGTGGGAAGCACGACTACATTGGGGAGTTCACCACCAGCTTCCGGGAGATGCAGGAGGTGGCCGACGGCAATGAGGTAGCGGGGTGCACAGATGCCTGGGTCCTCTCCTGGCTCCTCACCCCCACTGAGGTCAACCCCTGGCTCCCTTTGTGCCCTGCAGGTGCAGTGGGAATGCATCAACCCCAAGTACCGGGACAAGAAGAAGAACTACAAGAACTCCGGCCTCGTGGTGCTGGCCCAGTGCAAGGTGACTTAGGCACATATAGGGGCTCCCAAACCACTGAGCTACTCTCCTCACCCACCACTTCCCCTGCTTGGGGAGGGGGTTGTGTGGGCCCATCATGGAGCTGGCAGACCAGGCAGGTCAGATGCCTGGCATCATCTCCTTTGAAGTGCCTGACCCCCCTGGGCCCAGATGCATCAGCCAGTTGGATGCTTCCGGCCGGTAGCCTGACGATGATTCATGGCCTATTTATTGTGGCTTGTATTCACATGCATAATTAATGAGCGAGCGCCTGGCCTTTCCCTTCCTGCCTTCCCCAAAGCGGGGAAGTGTTCATGAATTTGCATGTTCATGACCCCCCACAAATGGTCCTAACCACTCTGTCAAGCAGGTGCCTGGTTACCATATTTACTTACATATTCACATGTCTTTCCCCAAATCGTCCCTCCATTTGCCATTTAACCAGACCCTGAATTACCATATTTACTTGTATATCATAGACCGCCCCCATATCAACCCTGCCGCTGCCATTCAACCAGACACCAAATTACCATATTTTCCCATGTACTAATGCACTTCTTCCCCCCAAATTGTCCCTGCTACTGTCCTTTGACCACACACCTAGTTACTGTATCTTTTTGCTTATCCATGCATTTTGCCCCCAAAATCATGTCTATATTCCATCAGGCACCTGGGTACCATATTTTCTTGCATATTCATACATCAGTCCCTCCTTCCCCCAAACTCAGCCCTCTTGCTGCCATTTAACCACACACCTAATTCACATATTTTCTCACATATTCATGCCCCACGTCCCCAAATAATTGGCACCACTGCCATGCAACTGCACACCTAGTTACCATATTTTTTTCATACTGGTGCACCTTTTTCCCAAATCATCACTGCCATTCAACCACACTCCTAACTGGCATATCTTACGTATTGGTGCACTTCTTCCCCAAATCATCCCTGCAGTTGCCATTCAACCACACCAAATCACTGTATTTTCTTGCATATTCACATGCTGTCCCCCCCAAAATTGTCTCTGCTGCTGCCATTCAGCCACATGCCTAATTACTGTATTTTCCTGCAAATTTACAAAGGGACTGGACACATTCTTGGAAGAAAGGGACATCAGTGGCTATTGAGCATGGGAGTGATGGGCACGGCCTCTAAATCAGGACCTCCTAGACCTTAAATCCTGAGGACTGTGAGTGAGAGAGAAACAGGGGGAAAAAACCTGGGTCAGACCCTGGTCCCTCTCTCTTCAGCACCCAAGATGGACCTATGGTCTGACCCAGTAAATAGCAGTTCTTATATTCACATATCATCCCTGCCCCCCTGGATCATCCCGCCACTGCCACACAACATGCACCCAAATACCATATTTTCCCCTTCAAAATGACATCCCCCCCCCCGCAACTGAGGTGCATATTCAGCAGAAAAGCTGATTTTCTGCCCACATAAAAGCTTTCTGCTTTGATTCACAGCTGTTACATTACTAATCAGGAGGCTGAGGGGGTTGATTGCCTTAATGGCTCTTCATTCTGGAGGCCTTAATGACCATCTCTCCCTGTTAATGGCTTTGATATCCTGCTAATCTTTATTCAGGTGATTTTTCCCCCCTGCCTTGCTGCTCTGATTTCACAACCTAAGAGACTCTTTCCAAAGTCATAGATCCACCCATGGGGACCAATCTTCAGCAGCATCAAGGGTTTCAGCTTTAGTTAAGCAGAAAAGGGGGATGGTGGGTCAGCTGAAGATGAGGCTGTACCTCTGCTTTATATAGCTATAACTCTGGACAAATCTTTATTTCTTCATTTGAACACTGTCTCTACCCAAGGTACTTAGGTGCCCTCCCTCTCATGCCTCATTATCTTCATTCCCTTCATTGATTATGATCCTTCATTACCATTGGGTTAATTGGTACAATTAGTAAGCAATCGGTACAATTAGTGGGGTCCTTCAGGAGCAGCCTCCATTGGGATTTAATGAAGGATCATGGGGTCATTTCTCATTAAAGGGCGGGGATCCTTAATATTTAATGAGCTGTCATTGGGTCACGTGTTGCTAACAAGTGACATTGCTTGATTGGCCTTCGGGCATTAAGGAGCTGGTGGCAACAGTGGCTTTAATGTGGCTTAATGACCCTAGCTAATGACTAACAAGCACCAATTGGATCATTTCACGTTAATGGCTGCTGCTCATTAATAATTAACAAACAATGATTGGGTTGTTCTATTATGAATGAGTCACTTCGCTCAATTTGGCCTTAATGGGCCCAGTGCTTGTGGGATTCATTTTGGCTTGGATTACACTGGCTAATTACTGCCACTGCTACTATGTGAGGAGTGGTATTGGGTTTGTCAGCCCTTGACTATATTCATCATTTAATTATTATTACTGAACGGATTAATTATTCTAGTTAATTAAATCAGTAACACCCATTTCCATAGTTTATCACTAATATGAATTGTATTGGCCATCACTATTGATTTGACCAATAATTAGCAAATGAATATAAATAACTATTGATATTGACACCAGCAGTTATTGGTAAAAACAATTAAAATAATAATTTAGTAACATCTATATAAATAATAGTTATATGTATTACTAATTATTCTTATTAGTACAAACAATATAAATAGTCATTGGTAATTTATTTATATTGATCTTGCCAATGATGATTTATGTTGATTTTTACTAATCATTATTCACATTTTGTTTAACGTTGGCAGCTTTTAGGGGTTTCTGGGGCTTTAGTTCACTGGCTGGGTGCCATTAGCCCTTGGCATTGAATTGACGTTGCTCTATGAATATATTTGCATGAATTAATGTAGCTGACAGGGGGCGGGGTGGGGGGGGCGGGATGAGCTGGGCAGGCCCCTAGGGAGTGTTTCTGGGATGTTGAAGGCTCCTTACTGCATCTGCCTCATTACTGCAGCGGGAGAAGGTGCACACCTTCCTGGAGTACATCATGGGTGGCCTCCAGATCTACTTCACGGTGAGCATTTGTGGTGGTGGCGGGGAGTGGATGTCTCTGTCCCCCCATCCTGGGTCTCACACCCCTGCCCCCTGGTTGCCCCCATGGCAGGTGGCTATCGACTTCACAGCCTCCAACGGGGACCCACGGAGTGAGCACTCACTGCACTTCATCAACCCGCGGGAGCCCAACGAGTACCTGAAGGCACTGTCGGCTGTGGGCCAGATCTGCCAGGACTATGACAGGTAGCCCCGCACCCTCGCGCCCGGACGCCTGGGTCCCACCAGCCTCAGCAGTCGGGGCTCCTGGCCCAACCCGGTTTCCCACAGTCCTTTGCACCAGGACTTCCATCCCACCCAGTTATCCACAATCCTTTGCACTGACGGCCCTGTCCCACCCATTTACCCACAGTCCTTTGCAGCAGTGGCACCTGTCCCGCCCAGTTACCTACAGCCCTTTGTGCCAGAGGCCATGTCCTACCCACTCATCCACAGTCCTCCGTGTCAAAGGCCACATCCTACCCATTTACCCATAGTCCTTTGCAGTGTGGGCTTTTGTCCAGCCCACTTATCCACAGTCATTTGCAACAGAGACCCCCATCCCACCCAGTACCCACAGTCCTTTGCAGGAGGCACCCCATCTCGCCCTGTTACCCACAGTCCACAGAGATGCCCCCAAGGGGTTAGAACCAGGCTTTTCCGGACTCCTGGGTCTCCTTCCCAGTGTTTCCCACCCTGCAGTGAGACCCCCAAAAGCCGCAGCCCCTCCTCACTCTGTCTCTTCCAGTGACAAGAAGTTCCCGGCATTCGGTTTTGGGGCACGGATCCCACCGGACTATGAGGTAAGTTTGCGGGGGGTGGGGCTTGGGCTGGGGGGCTGGGGGGCCGGGTAGAGGGGTCCCTGCCCCCGTCTGACGGGGGGACTCTCCCCTCTCAGGTCTCCCATGATTTTCCCATCAACTTTGACCCTGAGAACCCTGAGTGCGACCGTAAGAGCAGCCGCATTGGTCTCTTCTTAATGAATATTCATGGTTTAATTAATTAGACATGCTCCCAGCCCTTCCCCTCACCCTCTCGAATGCCTCAGACCCCATCTCACTTCCTTGAGCAGAGAGAGAGCAAGAGAACCCCGATGCCCGGGCTGTCGGCCCTCCCCGGATCTAATCTGCCAGACCCTGCTCCCATCCTGGAGTGGGGGCAGAACCCAGGTGTCCAGACCCCATGCCCCAGCCCCCCTAGAGGATGCAGCATCCAGTGTCCCCAGTCCCCTGCTGGCACTGGCCACCCCAGGGAGCCCTGGCATCTGATGTAACTGGCTCCTCATTCCCCATTACCCCAGGGAACCCAGGTGTCCTGGCTCCTGCCCCAGGGAACCCAGGCATCCTCGCTGCCCCAGGACACACTGCCCCGACTCTCCAGGGAACCCAGGCATCTGGTGTTCCCAACCCCACGCTGCTCCTCACCCCAGGGGACCTAGGTGTCCTGGTTCTCACCTTCCCACCTTCCTGCCCCAGGGGACCCAGGTGTCTGGCCCCCCACTCACCCACCACAGCCACCCTGGAGACCCCAGATATCCTGCCCTCCCCACCCCATCC